CCTCACTATCACTGCGCGACCCCCCGCCACGCGGCTGCGGTGCTCCGGTGTCCCCCGTGTCCCCTGCACCTTCCCTACGGCCCCGTTTTCCCGGTGTTTTCCAGTGTTTCCGCATCTCCGGTGGCCCCTGAGCCCCCCGCTGCGGCCCCGGGTCTCAGCACTGTGTCGCCCGGAGAAGCCCCCCCCCCTCACCCGCGGGGTGCCCTAGCCCTTGCAGCAACAAACTTCCCAGGGTCACAGCTCGTGAAGACCCTCCAGCCCCCTGGGGTTCCGAGGATCTGGGGTGGGATAAATGCGAGGCTGCGGCACACTCAGGGCACATGCACACACACACACACACACAGAGCAAACCTCACCCCCAGTATCTGAGCACAGCCTGCAGCCCCCCACTCACATGGGGCACGTGGGGGGCATGGGCACCCCCACGGGCAACCCCCACACACACAGCCCGCCTGTAATCCCCCACACACGCGCACTCACAGAGCACACAAGCAGCCTGCAACACCCCCACACGTACACACACGCGACACAGTCTGCAAATTTGTGTGCACAGCCCCCTGTGCAGCCTGCAAACCCACGGACCTGCACACACAGCCCCCCACACACACACTAACACAGCCTGCAACACCCCCCCAGTGTGCAAACACACACACACGCAGCACAAACACCCAGCACACAGACACAGCCCGCAAACCTGCGTGCACACATCCGCAGAGCCCACAAACCCCAACACTCGCACACGCACAAAGCCTGCAAACAGGCTGCAAGCCCGAACATCGTGGGGGCACGCGCAGCTTGCAGCCCCACAAACTTATCGCGCGTGTGCGCACACACACACCCCATGCAAACACAGCCTGCAGCCACCCGCAAACACACCTCTCGAGCAAACACAGCCTGCACGCCTGCACAGAGCTCACACACAGCGCACCCGCTCCGTCCTGCACACGCAGTGCCCCTGCACGGTGTCACCCATCTGCAGCACCCGCACAGATCACACACACAGTGACAGGCTGCTGCTTGCAACCCCTGCAGCCCCCAAACATCGCCACAACCTGGCACTAACCCTCTGCAGAGCACTCACACTGCGATAGACGCGCACACACGCAGCATCCCATGTCTGGCTGCGCCACGCTGGCATCCCCAGGCAGGGGCTGTCATCCCCCCCCCCCCAAAGCAGGGGCACACAGCGGATGGTGGTTGGTGGGTCCCCATCCCACAAACCCTCAGGCAGCACCCCTGGCTCCTGCTGCCACACCAAGGGCAGTGGTGAGGTGGAACATCCCTCTGCAGTCCCTGTCTTGGTCCCTCCATAGGTCCTCAAGGCCAGCAGGGATGTGAGGAGGGGGTTGAGGGAAAAAGGCACAGCACACTCTCTGCTTGCAGACCCCAGAAACTCCCTCTGTCCATTCTGGAAGGCATTTGGGACTGGGGATGCAGAGGGGCACAAAGTGCAGCCCCAGGGACCGTCCCATTCCTTGTGCCTGGGCAGTAGGAACCATGGGCATCATGTCCCAAACCCTGTCCCTCTCTGCCCACACAGGTGGCCCAGGTCAGCAATCCCGGACAGCAGTGGATGAGCGCTGGGCATTGGCCTAGCCACACACACACACCGGCACCATGGACTTTGTCATGAAGCAAGCGCTGGGCGGTGAGTGGGTGCTGTTGCCCCTCAGTGTCCCCTCTCCAGGAGCAGTGCTGGCCTGACACCCTGGGATCACAGTGGGAGGGACATGGCTGGGGGACAGAGTCACACAGAGAGCCACCAGCAGTGGGGGGCTGCTGCTGAAGCCCTCTGGGGTTCCTGTTCCCAGCACCGTCAGCAGCTGGCTGGGGAATCCTGGCTCTCCTGCCGCTAAGTGGGATTCCCCAGCAGGTCCCCTGGGTGCTGAAGGAGCTGCCAGCATCTCCCCCGGCTGATGCTGAACTAGGGCAGCGCAGCCAGCCCATGGCACTCCCTATCCCCACAGCCTCTAGAGCCCATCTGCAGCTCACTTTGGCATGGGTGGCCCTGGGGATGTCCCAGGTCGTCCTTGTGGCGGGGAGGGGGTCCTTGCCCTGCCTGCCTCTGCAGGGCTTCAGCAGCCAGCGTCAAGCTGCAGCACCCTTGGGGACCAGCCAGTGGTCTTGTGATGCCACAGGGGCCACCAAGGACATGGGAAAGATGCTGGGGGGAGAGGAGGAGAAGGACCCCGATGCGCAGAAGAAGGAGGAGGAGAGGCAGGAGGCTCTGCGCCAGCAGGAAGAGGAACGGAAAGCCAAGCACGCCCGCATGGAAGCCGAGCGGGAGAAAGTCCGGCAGCAGATCCGTGACAAGGTGGGCACATGCTTTTCCTGCACCTGCCCCTGCTCCTGGCACCCGGGGTAGGGCTGGGACAGGGAGCTGGCATGGCTGGGAGGAGGGTGGCCCAAGGCAGTGGTGACGGGCACGGGCACAGTGCAGGCAGTGCCCTGTGCCTGCCCTGCTGAGGGTCTGTGTCCTCTCAGTATGGGCTGAAGAAGAAGGAGGAGAAGGAAGCAGAGGAGAAGGCTGCCCTGGAGCAGCCGTGTGAGGGCAGCCTGACGCGCCCCAAGAAGGCGATCCCAGCAGGCTGTGGGGATGAGGAGGAGGAGGAGGAGGAGAGCATCCTGGACACCGTCCTCAAGTACCTGCCTGGCCCGCTGCAGGATATGTTCAAGAAGTAACAGCACCGTCAACCCTGCCATAGGGTGCTGGGGCATGGGCGCCCTCTCCCCTACGACCCCTCCATCAGTTCCCTTGGCCCCGGAGAGGGGGTCCCTACACCCCCTCCCATCCCCTCCTGCCCTGTCCCCTGACCCGCCCGTCCCGTCCAGGCAGGGCCCCCCCACCACGCCAAAGGGGAGCAGCCCTGGCCGGACAGGGCGAACCGGGACCAAATGCACTGATGTAACCTCGTGGCAGGCTGGGGGCACCCAGGCCCTACCGGCCCCCCCGGGGTGGCTCCTTGTGCCCCCTGCCCTGCCCCTTCTGCCCTCCCAGGGGACCCCAGCAGGCTTCTGCTCGCCTGCCCTCGTTCCCAACACTGCCATCCCCCTGCCCCGTCCCGCCCTGGGCCAAGCCCAAAGCACAAAGCCAGGCGCCCTGCCCACAGCTCCCCCATCCCCGGTCGTCGGGCACGGGGGTCCCCCGGGGCTGCCCGGTGTGCCCCTGCATCGGGGGGTTGGAGGGGACCCCCCTCCCCGCATCTCTGGCCCCATAGTTAAAGCCATATCAGTTAGACTGCAATACTTCAGCACCGGGAGGAGCGGGCGCCACGCTCCGCCAACCGTGTACAAAGGCACGTGCGGGGCAGGGAACCCCCTGTCCCGTCCCCCCGTCCCCGCCGCTCGCTCGTCTGTGTCTTGGCCCCGCTGGCCCCCGTCCTCGCATTAGTGTCTCTGTGCCAGGGTGCGCCCCATCGCTCCATGCGTCCTCGTGTCCGCTGCTCAGACTCCCACCCCTGAGTCCCCACTGTCCCCGGGGGCCACCCGCGGCGCTGAGCCGAGAGCCCCCCGCCGCGCTGCCGGGACCCCCAGTCTGCCCCCTGCAATAAAGCCAGCGCGGGGCCGAGGGCTGCCGGGCCAGCCCAGGGCTGGGAGTGCCCGGCTGCCCCCCACCTGACGCTGGACACACGGGTCCCCGGGCCTGGGACGGCATCCCTGGGCAAGCGCCCCGGGATGTCCCAGGAGCTGCTGCTTGTACCCCAACGAGGGGAGGCAGGGGCACACCCTCATCCCAGCCCGGCCCTTGCCGCACCGTGCTCCCCCCTACCCGTGCTTCCTCAGCCACGGCCCCCAGCCGCCCACGAGGGCCCTCCAGGGAGGCGGCGGGCAGCTTGGGGCCCCACAGACATGCTGTGACCATCCTGCTCGAACTAGTCTTTGACAAACTAATAAAATAAAGGGATTTGTACATTGCTCCAGCCTCTTCTCATCCATTGCTTCCCTGGGCCCCCATGTCAGCTCCCTCACCCCACTAACCCCAAGGCTGACACCAGGCAGCTCACAACACACGGTAAGGCCACAGGGCCCACCCTGGGCAGCACCCAAGCCAGGCCACAGGTGTAGGGGTGACCACATGTGGCTCCCAGAGTCCTGTTCAGTCCTGCTGTCTCCCCACTCTGCAAGTGTCCTCTCTGGGGATGGGGACAAGGCAAAAAGGCTGGGTGCTGGTGGTCCCACAGGCATGGCATGGGGGCTTCTGCCCCTTCCCCCTGACTCTAGGACTTCTTTCACTGAATGATGGGGGATACCCTGCAGTACAAGGGCTGTTTCTGGTGGGTCACAGTCTTCTGTCCCCTAATAAAGAGGCATGAGGCTATGGGCATGGGGCACCTCATGTCCCCGCAGAGAGGTAAAGGCCCTGGCAGTGCCCTGGCTTGGCACAGCCCTGGAGGCGTCAGCCTGCAGCCAGCCTCAGCCATCATTTGCCATCATTTACCAGCAAAGAGCTCCACTGTTACCCAGGCGCCATCAGCAGAGCAGTCACCCAGAAAAGCTTCTGTCAGATGAAAATACGAGGGTAGAAAACGGTAGAGATCTTGCAGGCAAGGTCTCCATTGCAGGCAGACTATGCTTTGTGACGGCACAGAGGGGGAGAAGTCCCCACAGCCCTCCCTAGGGAGCAGTGGAGGGGGGAGGCAGTGCTGGTCACCCCTGAAGGGGCGCAGGGAAGGGCTGTGCCCGGGGCTGGTGGCCGTGGCGTGGGACCAGCAGCGTGTTCCGCACACGGGGTGCTGCCAGGCAGGAGCAGGTCCCTGCGGATGTCCCCCCGCATCCGCTGAGCAGTGTCCCCACCATCACCTGTCCCCAGTGTGGGGGCACAGCGCCCTCTGGTGTGACAGCGCAGGAGAGGGAGAGCGGGGACAGGCAGTGGGGACAAAGGGGACAGTCCCTCAACAAACCCCTCAGCCAGGGCCTTGCCTGGGCCAAGGGAAGGAGGCAGAGGAAGGGAGAGTAGCTCAACAACCCAGTTCTCCCCCCTGCAAGCAGCCACAGGCACCTTTGTTAAGGAAGAGGATTTATCAAAATTAGAAAAAGCAAGTATTAAAAAAACTCAGCCCCAGCTGGGGAATCGTCTCCCAACTCACATCCCTTCACCCTCCCCTCACTGCCTCAGCACAGGAAAGGGGCATGGGATGTCCGGGAAGAAAAGGGGCAGGCTGTGCTCCCAGGGCTGCCCTCGCCACCAGGCTGTTGGGACAAGGGGACAGTCACATAGCTTATCCCTGCTGGGGAGACTGGTCAGAGTGGAGCTCCTCTCATGGAAGGCCCCTCAGCAGCCACCTTCAGTGACCGACTTTCTTTGGCCACTTGCCTTTGGAACAAGCTCCCCATTCCCCAGAGAGAAGGTGGCAGATGGGGGGCCCTGCCAGCACCCCCATCATCCCCAGCCCACAGCTCCCTATTTACAAATGCTCCCAAGAGCAGGATGCACCAAACTGAGCCCGAGGTCACAGCCCTGCCAGGCTGCCAAGGAGGGGAGCCAACTCCTTGCCCCACCTACATTAAGCTCCCAGTCCCAAGAGCAGGCAGGTGTTGCATCCCCAGGTGCAGCTTCATCAGGAGTCATTGGGGAGCCCAAAGAGCTTGACGGTGCCAGCCTCCCGGCTGCTGTCATATTTGCCATCTTTATCGTCACAGGCGAAGGCCAGCAGTGGCCTCTTCGGGTGCCAGGCCACTGTGAAGGTAGGGGACTCACACTGCACCTCCCAGAGCTTCTCTCCTGCATGGAAAAGGGGCCATGTCAGCCTGGAGAGCCTCCACCACTCGCTGCCCCAGAGCCAAGCACCTGCTTTTTCTCTCCAGCACAACTGCTGCTCCAGCGCCTTTTAATCACCCAGTGACAAGGCTCAGACATGACAAGCATGCCTGCCACCGACTAACGAGGCAAAGGCTCCCCCTCATGGCACTCTGCTCTGCACAGCAAAGTTCTTCCTTAACAGACAGATTCTCCCAGTGCCCTCCCAGCTCCACCAGCACTTCTCCATCTGATTCCCTCCCTGCTGTTCCCCAAGAAGAAACCATTACCTGTCTCCACTTCAGCAATGTCAATGAAGTGATCTTCTGATGCCGACGCCAGCATCTTCCCATCATGACTGAAGCTCAGTGTCCGCACAGGCCAGTCGAGCCTGCAGCAACCAAGGGGAGCAGACAGTGAGCCACTCCACATGGTCCCCAGAGAGGGGGCAAACAGCTTTGGAACAGCTCTACCTACCTGGAGAAGCACCTCACACATACCAGCTCATCCACATCCCAAAGGCTGACTAAGGCATCAGCGCTGCCCGTGGCAAAATACTTCCCCATAGGATCAAACTTGATGCAGATGCAGTTGGAAGGATGGGCATTGATGGACTGGATGGGCTTCAGCTCTGGGTAGCTGTGGAGGTGAAGGGAGAGGGCAGGGAGCAGTGAGAGAAGCAGAGATTGTCTGAAGCAGGGCAGGCACAAGGCACACCAGGACTGGGAGCAAACCCAGCCAGGGTAGGAAACACCAAGTGTCCAGTGAATGAGGTGAAGCATCAGGGTCCCTCTCGGGGAGCCCAGCCCGGAACTGGGGCAACCTCAGCTCCAGGCAAGTCCATTCCCACCAGAGGGCTGGGGACCACTGAGGTGTGGGACTCCAGTTCCCCAAAAGAAGCCAAGGCACTTGCAGCCTGACAGCAGCCAGCCCAGCCACCCAGCCCACCTGCAGCCACGGGCACCAACCTGAGGATGTTGATGCAGCCGTTCCCATTGGTGAGGAAGAACATGTTGTTGTCGTTGTTCCAGGAGATCTCATTCACCTCAAACTTGAACTGTTCCTCAGCTTTGGAGCGATGTGTCTTGGCGTCAATGAAGGTGACCACGTCATCCTTGTTCCCCACGGCGATGGTCTGTCCATCAGGGCTCCAGCAGATGTTGATGTTCTCACCTGAATGGACAGAAAGGCAGCAGGTCCCATTTCCACTCCAAACCATTCCCAGATAGGAAAGACTGCCATGTCTGCAGTGTAACACACAAACCCTGCACGGCAGCTGTCCAGCAAATATAGAATTACTGAAAATCAAACTTATAAGAACTACAGCTTCAAAACAGTAGGACCACACCAATCACCACACAAGGTCAACCCCAAGATCCTCTGAATCCAGTGATCTTCAAGATCCAGAAAAAGCAGAAGACAACAATAAATACCTTTAAATGATGGTAAAAACAAGGCAGATTGCAGTTATGCCATTTCCAACCCCAACAACTCAAAATTTGATATTTCCAAGAGCAGAGGCAGTATCTGGGTTAGGCAGCACATGAACTCAAAATAGTTGTTTTTCTGAATCCACACAAACTTTTACTTCCATCATGGCTCTCTGTAAACATGCCTTTTCCCCAGTCTCCAGCCTCACAGCCCACAGACTCCAGAAACAAGAACACAGGACATTTTAACAGCCAGAACCATACTTTCAAGAGTTTCTCCAGTCCCTACTCTGCAGTAAATGAGCCCTTATGATGAGTGCAACACAAAGTAGCCACCAAAGAGGCTCCAAGCAGAAATAGCCACAGAAAGGATCCAAAGGTCTGTGCCGCTGCAGACGGGTCCCACACAGCTAAGGTCCTACCGGGACCCACCTGGGAAACCCCCTGGGAAGGCAGGGGCTCACCTTTGGTGTTGACAGTGGCGATACACTTCGTGGTGCGGACGTCCCAGATGCGGATAGTTTTGTCCCCGGACGCTGTGACGAAGAGGTCAGGGTTGCTGGGGTGCCAGCAGAGCTGATCCACACTGTCCCCGTGGCCCCGGTAGTTGTTCTCCTTCACCTGGGGGGAGACGACAGCCGTCGGCATGAGGATGCGCCTGCCTCTGCTCCCGCTCCTGCCTCACATCCCAGCACGCTGCATCCCCGTCGGGATGGGGCGGGAACCCAGCCCGGAGCTACATCGCCACCCCGGCCACGCTCCCACCAACGGCTGGCCGGGATGGAGGAGACCCCCGCGCCTTCCCCCCAGGCACCAGCTTCATTCCCGCTCCAGCTTCATTCCCGGCTCTCTGACACCGGCCGGCAGGGTCTCCTGGCGATGCTCCTGTTCCGATCCACACCGAGTACCCGGTACCGACCACCGGGACGCACCCCCCGGCTCGACACACCTGCCCAAACACCCGGGCCCAGTGTGCCCAAGAGCTCCCGGTTCCGACCCGCCCGGCACCGCCCGCCCGCTGCCGGCGGATCTCACCAGCCGGTCCTTCTCCAGCAGGAAGACGCTGGCGGTCTTGTCGAAGGAGCCGGAGGCGAGGCGGCGGCCGCAGCAGCTCCAGGCCACCGAGTGCACCTTGGCGCCGTGCGCGGGGAACTCGCGGCTCCGCGTGTTGGCGCGGAACAGCTCCTGCATGGCCTGCACGTACGGGGACACCGCCATGGCGGGGCCGGCTCCGCGCCCCGCCCCGGCACCGCGCCCGCCCGCACTTCCGCCGCCCCCCCGCGCCTGCCGGGGCTCCGCGGCCGGGGCGGAACCGCCGCCCGCCGCCGGGATGGACGACACCGTGGTGCTCCTCAGCGACTCGGACTCGGAGGGCGCCCGCTCGCCGCCGCTGCCGCCGCCCCGGCCGCGCCGCCCCAGCCGCTCCCTGCCCGCCCCCGCCGTGAGTCCGGGGCCGCCGCTGCCCCGCTCGAAGATGGCGGCGCGCCGAGCGCGGGCGGGGACGGGAGCCGCGCGCAGACAAGAAGCCTCGGGGGCAGTGGAGGGGTGGGCGCGCAGCCCCGGCCGGGTGTTCCCGGGGATCCCCGGGATGTCCCAGCCTCTCCCCAGGCGGGCTCGGCTCCCCGCGGCCACCTGCGGCCGGCGGAGCCCCGGTCCTCAAGCGCACCCCCTTAGCGGTCCCAGCCTCCTCAGCCACGTCCCCCCCCCTCCCCCAGAAAACGCCGGTCCCCACCACGGAGCATCATGTACCCTCGCTGCAGCCCGAGGAGGGTCCAGCTCTGTAGGGCACAGCCCCGGCGGGACCTGGCTCAGGGATGCGGTGGTGTGGCTGCCGCGCCTCTCACCTGTCTTGCCCCTCTCCCCTTTACCGCCGGAGGGTGCGGTGCGGCGGCGGTTCAGGGCTCGAGGCTCAGCCCCTCAGGGAACGGCCCGGCCCGCTCCACGCTCCGCTGTCCGGGTTCCTGAGGCAGCTCCTCAGCCGCCGACGGTTACCGTGACCGGCAGGGGCCCCGCGGCCTCCCGCCCTGCCCAGCTCCTCCAGCGTCCAGGAGCCCTCCTTGGGAAAGGCAGCGGGTCTGAGTCAGGGGGAAAGAAACGGGCTTAAATTGTCCGCTAACCGTGTTCCCTGCTTTGAGACGCTGAGGGGCATTTTTGTCCCCAAGAGCAAACAGGCTCTGACCCCTCCTGGGCACACCGAGATCTTGGGCAGTGGTGTGTCCTGCCTGCTGCCTGTCCTGCCCGGTCCTGTTACCCCTTGGAACACCGAGTGCTGCCTCACCCAGCAAGTCCTGGCTGGGAGTCCCCAAAGTCTCAGGGCTGCTGTAGCTCCAGATTGATACCAAAGAGGAAGAGGCAGTTCCCTGCCACTCCTGTGTTCATAGAGGGCAAGGTTGTGCCACAGAAGGGGTGCCAGGGTTTGGATCCTGTGCTGCTTCTGCTGGTGTCTGAGGACAGGGTACAGGAGTGCTCACGGTGCTTCCCTTGCCCTCTCTGGACATCCCACGGGACCTGCATTTCCCACTCATGGGAGGGAGCTAAACAGGCAGCCAGGACCACTCTAGCCCAAGGCAAGAGGCGTTTGGAGGAGAGGGCATGGCTGTTGGCAATAAGGAACCCTGGGGAAAGCAGGGAAGAAGAGCCTCAGTCAGAGCTGGGCTCAGGATGAGTGGTGCTACCAGGGTGGGCTGACCCCAGAGCTCAGAGCCACCAGCCCCCACAGCCTGCCCCATCCCCTCGGATGGGGTCTTTGCCCCTGGTTTCTCTTCCTGGGCTGGTGCTAGCGAGCCTCTTTTCCCTCTTGAGCAGGGGTACAGTGCCACCATAGCAAAGGCTCCTGGCAGGGGATGACACTGACACTGCTCCTCTCTCCCCACAGGAGGTCATCGATCTGACCTGTGAGGACACAAGCACAGACCCGACGCGGCTGAGCGTGCCTGAGAATATCTTCTTCATCAATGCAACTGAGGACATCCACGTCCTCCACTGCACCTGCAGTGCTGACCAGGACCCCAGGACTGCGCCTGCTGCCCCAGCAGCACACACGTCCCATCCCCGGCTCTGCTTCACCCCAGAGGAAGAAATGGAGGCAGAGCCAAGCCCTGCACCACCCTGGCACAGCACTCCCGTGAAGCCCAGTGCCACCACGGACACAGCAGAAAGCACGGAGAACAGGAGCTGCCACTCTCCTGCCTCCAGCTGCCACAGCTCCTGCAGCTCAGAGCAGGACTGCAGCGCTACCAGCTTTAACAGTGACCTGGGTTCCCTGACCAGCATGCAGCTGGACTCAGACCTGCTGTCCCTGTCCCCCCCCAGCCTGGACAGCAACAGCAGCTGGAAAGCTGATGGCCCAGAGGAAAAACCTCCCCCCCTCTGCCAGGAAAGAGACCTCCCCCCAAGGCTAAGCCCTGCCCCAGCACTTTCCATAACCCCAGGGAAGGCCCAAGGGCCTTTGCTGGAAACAAATGACTTACTACCACACGAACCAACCCAGCAAGTGACCCCAGCCAGGAGTGATGCTGACAGCAAGGCCTGGCTGGACAAACTGCACAGTTTCAGGAGGAGTGGAGTCCAGCACCTCTTCTTCCAAGGCATAGCACCCAACCAGGAAACACAGCAGGTAAACAGGGTCTAGAGCAGCCACTGCCAAGCCCAGCTGGAGGCTGCTCAGAGCAGGCCCTGTGGTAGAGGATGTAGCAAGGGCAGCCCCTGCTCCCTTTGCCCTTTGTGGGAAGCTTTGCCAGGCAGCTGGGGGCTCTGGTTATTGCAGTTCCCTTCACAGTGGACTCCACATCACAGCTGGATTCCTCCATGCTGGGGGAGCTGGCTTTCACCTGTTGCCTTGCCTCCTACACAGCAGAAACCTGAGCTCATCCCCAGAGGGAAGCTGAGCATGGTGCGCACCACCATGGAGGAGAACTTCCTGGAGGGCACCTTGCATCTCCTGAATGAGTTCGTCTCCTGCCAGCACTGTCCCCCCAAAGATATCATCTCCCACCTGATCAGACAGGTCCTGTTGAATGCCCATGAAGAGGAGATCTTGAAGGACACCTACATGCTGCTGATGAAGATCCAAATGTAGGTGTTCTCCTTGTCCTGGTGCCCTGGGGCTGACTAGGTGCTCCCAGGGGTCTGCCCAGCATACGGGTGCTCGCTCATAGGAGTGATTTCCCATCTAATCCAGGATGATCCTCTTGCCACCACCAGCACTCCCCAGGCTCTCTGTGGGTGGGTCAAGGGCAGCCCATGACACCAGAGAGCTCTCAGGGACAGAGGAGCGTGTTTGCCTTGCAGTGAAGGGCCGATCTCATTTTTCTCTGCTGTGACATGGCAGAAGTGCCTTCCCTGGGCTGCAGCAGTGCAGTGGGCTGTCAGTGCATGGAGCAGCTCCCTCACTTCCCTCAGGGGTTCCTACAGAAAGAAACAATGTTTTGTGAGGCCACAGGCCCAGGAGTCCTGGGCGTCTCCATGGAGTACAGCCCAGCCAGGTGGTTTCAAAAAATTCATGTGGTCAGGAGAGGAGAAAGGCTGAGGGCAAAGATGGAGAGGAGAAGGCAGGTCAGGCCCCTGAGCAAGTGAGGCTGGGGAGGGCTGGGGAAGGGCCAGGGGCTGCCATGCCTCCAGACAGATGGTCAGGCAGTTCAGCACAAATGGACAGCGTTGTCCTTGCAGGCTCCATCCAGCCAACGCTGCCACAGTGGGATGGGACTGGACGCTGCTGAAATTCATCATGGAGGACCAGGTACTTGGCACTGTGTGTGTCACATCAGGGCAGGGATCATCCAGGACACAGTGCCTGAGGGTAAGCATTGCCTAATGGCCTCATGTGGCTGTGCTCTGCTGCAGAGAACAGGCCAGTCCAATGTGCACCTTTACTGCAGCTGCTGAGGGCAGTGAGTGCCAGTTGGGTATCTCGTATTTATCCTCAGGTGTCCCTGACCCACTGCACAGCTGCAGGCAAGTTGTCCCATTGCAGAAGGCACAGCAACAGATAAAGTCTCTGTGGGTCACAGTGCTAGTGCAGTGGTAAAACAGGTCCTGCAATGCCCGTAAGGGCATTGCCTGAGCCAGGCAACCCATCCTGGAGCTGTTCCTTGGTCCTGTACATCAGCCCATTCCTGAGACAGCCAAATTCCCTGGTCCCCCTCACCCCGTGGCTCCCTCAGGCTCATACACTCTTGCTGTGCCCTCAGGAGAAGCCCCCTGGCCGGCTCCTCTTCCTGCAGTACGTGGTGCAGACCCTGGAGGACGACTTGCAGAAGAATCTGAGGTTGCACCTGCTGCAGAAGTCGATTGCCAAGAAAGTGCTTTCATGTGACGTGTGCTTCAACAATGTCAAGTAAGGGACACCTCCTCCTCCTCCCTGTTCTCTAACCACAAACTGAGAGGAAGGGGCCCAGGGAACACTTGTCAGCACTCCAGGTCAGACTTCCAGACTTTACAAAAAGCAAACTTAGGAGACAGAGGGAAGTGTAGGGCCAAATATAAATGACAGGAGACTTACAAAAGCAAACCACCAGAGAGGATGCAAAGCATTTGCAGCTGCAACCTAGCAGGCTTCCCAGGAATGAGATTTGCATTGCTCAGGACAGGACTAAGGAGGCAGCAGTCCTGTGGACAAGTGTAGAAATCAAGAGAGCTCTTCTGTTGAGCTGCTCACTCTGAGTGGGACATACTCTTCATTCTCAGGGTCTTTCTTCAAGCTCCAAGTGGATCTAGAGGTCAGAACAGCAAAATCAGGTCCATCCGTATTAAAATTCCTGTTTCTGTCCTAGGGAAGTGGTCAAATGGTTGGTTGCAGCAATCACAGGAGTTGGGTTCTGTCAGCCCCAGGAGCAGCCGCAAGAAACTCCCTCGTCTTCAGCAGAAGCCAGGGCTGAACACAGCTCATCTTCACCAAGTCTGGCCAGCACACAGGCTCCAGCAGCTTTCTTTGCCCAAAAGTAAGCCCCAGAAGTGCTAACTCGCTACTGGCATTATCATGGACCCAAGTCAAGGAGAAGCCAGAGCCTCTCGCTCCCTGTCAGGTCAGGGAAGCTAGGCTGTACCTGTGATCAGCTTTGCTGGTTCTCCTTTGGGTTAGATATAGACTTGGTGAGCAAAAGACTGTCACCTGCTAATAGACTGGCTCAGTAAGTATCATCCCCTTGCATGTCTTGTAAGTCTGGAGCTCTTGAGCCACAGCTCAGGCCGCCCCATGCTGCTCCACCAACACTCACTACAGCCCAAGACCTCCCATGGTTCAATCTGGGGATTCGCTCTGCTTGCAAAAGCATCAGATTCAAAAGCCACCAAGAGACACCAAATCTAACCTGCTGCATTCCCGTGTCCCTCACTGCACAGCACGAGGCTGAACTAGGGGGCCATCCCCAATGCTTTACTTGGCAAGGCAAGAAGCAGCTTCTGCCAGTGCTGTCTCTCTGACACAGGGTGATGCTCCTGCTCCAGCGGATGTTGTTCATCGCAGTGGAAGTGGACAGATCTCCCACCTGCAGCTCCCGTAGGATTGCAGATGAGATATTCCCGTTTATTCTGAATATCCCCTTGAGGAGACAAAGGTGAGACAAGCACATGCGAGGCAGCATTTGGCTGTGTGAGCAATGGTCTTATTCCCAACTTAGATCCCAGTCTGGATGCACAAAGTACTACAGGGTACAGAAAGACAGGCCAGGAAGCAAGAGCATGGCTATATCTCCCATGGAGATACATCACTAGCTGAACACATCTACCCCGGTGGCGTGTTGCTGAAAACAGTCAATTCTCTCACATGTTAAAGTTGTGTGACCTTAAAAACATGAAAAGGGTCTGAAAAGCAGCACTGTGCATCAGCACAGTCAAGTACTAGCAAACACATCACTGATTCTCCTGGGCAACCAGGTAGCTTGTCAGAAATATGCAGTTCCTACAGCTTTGCCTTGACATCCTTTTGTTTGCTTCTGTAAGAAATGCAGTATCTGAAGCCAAAGCACAAGGGCCTGACTGGTTCTGGTGTAAACACAAGACCACTGGACCCACAGGCATTTCAAACCCACACTTGCAATGCCCAGCAGGCAGCCCTTCACACCCCTTCAGCAGAATCCTGTGCACACACCACATCTAATCAAACCAAACTGAGTCTAACCAAGCTGTCACTTTGCCCAGGACAGATGTAGATCCAGCTGGCCCTGACCCCACATCACCCTTGCTTGGCTGTGCTCCCTGCAAGTCAGCAGGAATGGATCACTGCCACACAGGCTGCTGGGCAGGGTGAAGTGAAGCAGCTCAGTTTGCTTCACAGACTGTACTGACCTCCAGCTGCCACAGGTCACACCTGAGGATAAAAACACAGCCATGGCCAAGTCACATAACAAAGGTCTCCCACCACATCTGGTGGTCTTCCTTCCAAGGCACAGCTGGGCAGCCTCTGCAGTCACCCCACTGGGTCAGCACCAGCAGTGCACCAGGAACATGCTGGAACAGTTGTCTCTGGCCAGGGTGTGCTGTCTCTCTAAAGTAAATCCCTTTTGTCTTCCAGGGAAACGTTATTAAACACCATGGAGAGCCAGCTCCTGCGCTGCAGACTGCTAGAGCTGTTGTTCCAGCACAGTTGTGATGTGCCCTCAACCTCATCCATGTCTCTGGAGAAGATCCTGTATTTCCTGAGCCACTGCTCCGTGCAGTTGCATTTCGAGGTATCCAGTCTATCTTCTACTTTGCTTGATTTCTTCTGAGAAAACTTGTAATAATCAAATACTGCCTCCTGTCATAGGATGAAACAGCAACATGGCAAAGGTGGGATGAGATGCTGCAGTACTTGAGTTTGCTGCTGATGAGTTACCAAAGTGTGATACGGGGTAAGCAGCTTGTTCTGGCCTTAACAAACAATCTCATCAAGAGGCTGCAGTAGAACTGCCAAATTGCCCTTCCTCCTCATCACTCTTGAGCTCACAACCACTAAGTCTTTGAAAGACAATGGGCCTCTATCCATGCTAGTAGCTAATCCTAGCAGTCAGAGAAGGGATGTTGCATCAATCAGAGCACCCAACTTACTTTGCCGAGTTTGGCCCCTACAAAATAGCCTTCCTCCTAAAGGAAGCGCTTCCCAGCACCGGAAAACACACAAGGGGGTACCTGTTGTCTAAGTTGCTACACAGTGGATGGAAGAATAGGGATCATAGAATATCCTGAGTTGGAAGGGACCCACAAGAATCATTGAGTCCAACTCCTGGCCCTGCACAGGACCCCTGTAACAATCCCACCATGTCCCTGAGAGAATTGTCCTTGAGCTCTGTCAGCCCTGGGGCCCTGACCACTGCCCTGGGGAGCCCACTCTTTGGGAGAACCTTTTCCTAATAACCAACCTAATCCTTCTGACACAGCTCCAGCCGTTCCCTTGAGTCCTTCACTGGTCACAGAGAGCATAGATCAGTACCTGCCTCTCCTCTTCTCCTCACAAGGAAATTGTAGACTGCAATGAGGTCTCCCTTCAATCTTCCCTTATCCAGGGTGAACAAGCCAAGTGCCCTCAGCCACTCCTCGTGTGGCTTCCCCTGTAAACCCTTCATCATCCTTCCAGCCTCCTTTGGACGCTCTCTTTGGTAAACCCAGGACACTTTTAGCACTTAGTAAACTGGGCAGGGAGCACCACCCACAGTAGGCATAGAAACAGCAGCATTTCTGATCCCAGGAGAATGGCACAAAACACTCCCTCAAGTAATTTTACCAGAAAATTCTTCAAGTCTCTTCCCAACTTCAGCTGCTTTAGCCCAGGGTTAAGGCTCTCATGAAAGAACAGAGGAATCCACCATCACACGTGCAGTCTCACTCTCCCTGAAGCCCTAGACAATTAATGTTACTGCTGTTGAGCTCTTTGGAGACTCCTTTGCAGCTGCCCATTCTGCCACTCACACAGGAGAAAAGGGTTCTACAAGCCTTGCCCCTTCCCCATTTCTTGCACTCTCTCCACACGCAGACTGAGCTCCAGGAGGGAACAGTTCCTTCTTCCCACAGTCATGTGCAGGGATAACCACAAGAGGATCAGCCCCATTCCCAACTGCTTCTCACTCTGGCACAGCGCTGCCTCTGGCATGGTCAGGGAGCCCCTTGTGTGCTGCCTCTCCCCACCAGCATTTCCTCTTGCAGAGCACCTGCGGAGCTCCCTCAGTGACCGCATGGACTTGATAGTTCAGAGAGCCAAGCCCAGGCTCCAGGAGAGTGACAACATCACCAACCTGGACATTCAGCTGAAGATGGAGGACTTCATCAGCCGAATGCAGGAGGTCCTGGGGCAGCCTTTTCCTCCGCAAATCCAGGAGAAATTGTTCCTGCTGCAAGAGTTGTTCTTCATTGTCGCTACTGCCTGATGGAGACAACCACTGCAGTAAGGGGGACAAAGAACTTGAAGTTCCCGATTAAAAAACCCTCCAAACCCCCATCTCATGCTGCAGTTTCAGTGTCATGGGGGTTGGTTTACAGAGTTCTTTGGAAAAATGGTTGGTTTACCAATGGTAAAAAATGGTCTCAGAATTTCTGTTCAAATTTGCATCATTCTACAGTTTTATCAGGCACATTGTACACTTTAAAAAATAAATTATTTTTATATTTTATAATTGCTGAGAGTCTTTCATCTTGGTGCCAGCCCTGCCTTAAGGAAGTGCAGACCTCTGTCAGTCATACCCTGGGACAGCATTAGCCTCGTGCAGCCATAAACTCTGACAGTAGTTTGCACAGCAAGCAAAATGCCCAAATATCTGGTCAATAATTAAGGTAAAGATGATAATCTTTAAAAAAAAACCAACAGGTGTGAGGTGCAGTGAGGACATTATTCATGGTGCAGAGATCCCCAAGACATGGTAGTCAGTCCTCAGTAGAGGAACATTTCTGCTCCAATGCAAATCAATCTATATAACTTGGCCAAAAATGATTAGGAAGAGGGTGGGCTGGATGGCAGCATGAGCTGAAAAAACTTCTTCCAGAACAACTCTAGTGCAGGCATGGGCATTATGATCAGCACGAATATTGAATTCAAATCCACAGCCATCAACAAAAACCACAGGTGAGGTCAGAGAACAATTAGGTGTTTCTATAGAAGATCTCAGTTCAGAAGCAACAGAGGCTGGGAGTGAGAGCTGCCCACCACACTTGGCAGGGTCCTAATGCGGAGACCAGAGTAGGAGCATCAAGAAGTAGTCACAGCTGGGAACACACTACTCCTGATATCAGTGGTCTCATACAGAAGCCTGGCTTCAGTTAGCCCAGAACTGTTCAGAAGAGTCTGACCTGCAGCTCACAAGTCTGCTTCTTGTTCTTTAGGAAGCCTCTTTCTAACTGCCAGGTGTAAAAAAAAACACTCCTTCACATGACACTGCTCCCCTAACCCAGGGATAAGTCATTCAGGGAAAAGTGAAGACTGCCAACAGTGCAAACAGCACACAGGCAACTTTAGACAATCCCAGGAACGAGAATCTGAACAGCCCAAGAAAACACAAAGGCTTCATGTTTAGTTTCATCTGCCCTAGGGCAGAACTGAGCCTGGCTTTAAACCTGGTCTCCCTGTCAAAGGGGAGTTTGTGAGCAAACATTTCACCCTAGAGAGGTGCTGTCAGAGCCTTATTTAGCAGAACCTTGACCCACATTTCTCCCACAGATGCTCTGCCAGCACCAACACACACCATGGACCTCCATTCACAAGGATTTTATTTTCCTGTAACAAACAAAACAAACATACACATTAGGAGACATGAATACAGACAACAAATAAATTAATGTCAAATGAGAGCTTGATTGCCAAGGTGCAAATGAGTGGTGACAGTGAGAACTGCTGGGTTGGGTGGGGGACTTTCACACAACACATCACTGGCAGTGCTGCTGAAGCTTGAGAGAAAGCAGTGCCACAAAATGTGCTTCTTCAGAAGGGCCAGCAGCCAGCCCAGCCTCACCCTCTGGGAGGAATGTTTGGTTTAAGAAGGCAGAAATCCCAGAGCTCAACAGTTACCAGCTGTTAAGAAACCTCTGTGTAATGTCCTGGCAACAGAGATGCTTCCAGTTCCAGATGTAAGGCTGCTGCTGGCTGAGGGACTCTACAACACAATTGTGAGATCAAGAGGAGACCTGAGGTGACCCATTTGCCACGGGACAGGTGAGGATTACAGAGCAATGCTGCCTATCATGCTTAAGGGATTAGATGGAAGCCAGGAGCTCCTTCCACTTCCCATGGAACCAAGTGTTAGCTGTTCCCAGTAACTGGCTCTGCCCAGACCAAGAATTACATCCAGCTGTACCATAACAGGGAGGAATGTTTAGCCTTAATCTGCCCTCAGTCCTCCCTCAGTCCTGCAGAACACATTAATGCTGATAAAATATCTGAGAAGTGCTCCCGCTGTATAATACACTTCTACATGATTCTAGGAAGAAAAAAAAAAACAAAAACAAAACAAATCAAGCTGCACCCAGATTGCCAGAACACCTGGAATTTTGCTGTCTAGAAGGCAGGATAGTGTTGTCTTGCAGAAAGAAGAGAGGAGGATTACTTGGTTCAAGCCACACCAGTATTGGTCACTTCCACTTTTTTAGAGGAACTCTTTTAGAAAAGAGTTGGAAGAGAAGAAATTCTTCCTCACTACTACTCCCTGCCTTTCCAATGAGAGCATCTTAGAAAGGTCATTGGTCCACTTTTCCATTAAAAAAGCATTCCAAGAACAAAGCAGAAATAGGTGTTGAACTGCATGGTCACACTGGACAGTAAGGGAACGCCACACTTAAACTGACCCACCACATCCTCTAACTTCCTTCTGGCAGTCAGTGGTCCAGTTTTCAGTCCTGGTTTGTTTCCATGATTTCCTGATGGAGCTCTGTATATGCCAGACAGAATCACCACCCTCCTGTGGGTCCTTCAGCAGTGAGGACAAGACAACCAGACTACAGGCAGACAAGCCAGGTGCTCACACACCACGTGGATTCCTGTCCCCAAAAACGTGGCTCAGGGTTCCACTGTGGTGTGGTGTACCGGGAAGCACATCCAGAGCAGTCTGGCAGCCCAAACCAGTGCAGTACAGCAAACAGGATGGTTTACATTGGTTTAGGACTAGTGCAGGAGGTTTTTCCAAGACTGGCTTTAGAAGAACAGTCACAACTGTTTCCATTTCTGAGATGAAGAGCTGGAAGAGAGACTTTCCTATTTTACTGCAGCACATGGGACAGGGAAGCAGAGCCTAAGACACCCTGTATCCTGCTAAAACCACCAGATTTCCTCTAGAACCCAGTGGGAGTGAGCACATTCAGATCCCGAGGTTTGATATTGTGGGAACGTGGAGATTGTTTCCTCCCATCTGTGCCTGGAATGTCCATTTTGGGTGGCTTGAAGGTGACTGGATCATCTGGCATCCTGGTAGCCTGAGCACGCATCAGCTCCATTGGGGATGGCTTCTGGGCACCCTTATAGGACTGAATGGTAAATCCTCCTGATGAAAAAAAAAATCACAGTAAGAGCCAGGAAAACCAGTCAAGTCCTTTTCCTATTGCTGCCAGGAGTGAGCAGCAGCACTGATGCCCCACACCACAGGAAGCCTGAAAATTCCAGCAGCTCCAAGTCATCTAAAGCCTATTCCACATCAGTGTCTGGCACTTGCAGTCCTGGTGGCATCACACATCAAAGAAAGTAAAATACTGTCACCTTCACACCCTGCCCGTTCACTGCAATGCAGTGCAAGTTATTCCTGCTTCCAGATCCTCAGCACAGGTTTTACCCAACTGCTTTATATTTCGGCACAGAAATTATATAAATAGCAAACATTCCCAAGGTGGTCCCAGAAAGTAACAAGGCAAGCAGGATAAGACTCTAGAAAGAGCAAGCAAGTTTGTTGTGTGATAGTTCCCCTTTAGCTCCCTCCAAGGCAGCAGATTTTTGAGGACATACCTGGATCAGTGGTGGATTTCTGGATGGCTTTGGGTCCAAAAAAGCTCCACCTTTCAGATGTCAACTTGTCCCCACCAGCTTCCATGGCAAAGTCTGAGCCAGTGATAGAAGAAGAGGATCCCTGACTAAACCAACCCCTAAGGAAAAAAAACCAAAAAAAAAATCATTGAGATATATAAAACATGAGAATAAATACTTTCAAGTGACCTCACTGTACCAGGAACTTCCCATGCAGTGAACAGGAGCAATTTAAACAACTTTAATAGGTTACCACCCAAAGTAAGATATGCATGCTCAAGTTCCACAGGCTTCCAACATTTGGATCTATCCAACACATACCCTCACGAGGCTCTGAATTTCATCCCATACAGTCCCTCACTGGATAAGGTTATTCAGCAGCTCCCACCTCAGCAGCCCGTAGGAAACCAAAGGAGGCAGTGGCCTGACAGAGTACCTGTTTTTATGCTTGGGAGAAGAGTGGGGGGTGCTGCTGGGAGTGGACTGAGCAGAAGAATTGTGTTTATCCTCTTTTGTAGTCTCTCCACTCTGCATTTTTAGCTTCTGTTAGGAAGAGAAACACAGAAGCAACAGAGCTTAAATACAAGACATAAGGGACAACACCCAGTTTTATTGTCAAAACCGGACAATTGTTTCTATCACAGGTGATAAAGTGTCACTTTATAACCTAAAGTTACACACATTATTACAATACCTCCACACAGCCCTCAAGCTTCTCTCCACATCAAATATAAGCATTTTGGAAGTTCACTATGCTCAAGACACATCCTCCAGGCTAGAGGAAAGAACACCAGCACTCATAGGGAGCTTGTGAATACAGCAGAGGTTGCTTCAGCTCAGCTACCTGGTAACAGCTCTAACTGCCACAGCACCCATTTGTCTCCAGCACTTTGCAGAGCAACAAAGCTTTCAGTCCCACAAGTTCTCCAACCAGAGTGAGACCAGTTCTCACACAAGATAAAAGGCCAGGAGTACCAGACCCTGTGAAGCAATCCATGTCCACCAGGATGAAAACACTGCTCTGGAACAGACATGACCCTGGGCACAAAATAAACAGGAACTGCGTGTATGCAAACCAGGTTACTGCAAGCTGAACAGTACAAACTGAACTTTGAAGAAGTCACTTGAAGGGCAGTTATAGTTCAAACACAAAATACACAGGCACCTGGTAATGTTTCCTGTGGCTATTCAAGCCACACTAATGCAATTCACCAGTGCTGTTACTGAAACTTTGACCTCGTGGGAGGACACTGGGAGAGTTGACTATTAAATTCCAACTGCAAGATTTTCGATGAGCTCAGTTGCCCACAGTAACATGTTCCTTCAAGACCTTTGTCTTTGTTTTCAGTAAAAAGCAAAACCAATCCCATCTGGTAACTTCCACATCGGAAATGCACAGTTTACAAGTTCTCTTGGGACAAACAGTTACAGAATTCAACTGCAGGGCACCATTCAAAGGTACAGCAGGAAACAAGATTGTGTAGGGATGTCCCCACTTGGAAAAACAACGGTGGCGATTTCATGACAGTGAAGTGTGACAGAATTCAGGAAAATAAAAACTTTGTTTCAAAACTACAAAGGCTAATGCTAACTTTAAAATACAACTGGGCAACCTTTTGTACATAATGAGCTCAAAGCCTTCAGAGGAAGCAGCTTAAGGAGAGTCCAAGCAACAAG